TCTGGAACATGTTTTTGACCTGGTATAAGTTCAAAACGAAATCGTTTAATAATCATTGCTAACATAATTTTTGCTTCTAACATAGCAAAATTTTGTCCAATACATGAACGAGGTCCACTTCCAAATGGTAAATGTATATCAGGATGACGTTGATTGAATCTTGATGGATCAAATTTATATGGTTCATGCCAATGTTCTTCAGAACTGTTTTATTATATTTTATAAATGTATATAAGAATCAATAATATTTACTTACTGATGAAGAGCATATAAATCAATACAAATATCAGTTCCCTTTCTAATAAGAATATGTTTTCCATTGCTAGCAATTAAAGTGTTATCCTCAATTGCTCGACGAACTAATGCTGGAACAGATTGATGAAGTCGTAAGGTTTCTTTTAATACAAGTTCAGTATAATTTAGAAGAGATAGTGTTGATGCTGTTATTTCTTCATTATCATTCAATACGGAATCAATTTCTGTTTCTAATTTATGACATATATCAGGATTATTAGCTAAATTGTATAGTGTCCAGGTCATTAAAACTGCTGTTGTTTCATGACCAGCAAGCACTAAATTATGAAATAAATTTTATAGAATACATTATATATTTTAATTATACCAAAAGTTAAAGCCTCTGCAGAGACTTCTTCATCAGTTAGTTTATTTGTTTTATCATCTTCATGTGCAGATAAAAGTAAATCAAGTAAATCTGGTCCTATACAAAAAAAAATATGTCACAAATTAAATCCTAAAAAGAAAAATAAACCAAACCTTTGCATGCAGATCTAGTAAATCCTTTTTTGCGTTCACTAATGATGTGTTCAACAGCATGTTGAATATTCTCTTTTGTTTTATCAATTCGTCTTTTACTTGCAAATGGTAATCGATTTATAATTGGAATGACACCAATCAGATTAAATGTTCTTTCTTCAATATCTTTTAGTGATTTTGTAAAACCTTGATAAATAGTTTCTCGTAAATGTTCATCTTTCATTAGTTCACTTCCAAAGACGCATCCAGTGACAATATCTAATGTTAAACCAGCCATTTCTTTATGAATATCAAGATTTAATATATTATCTTTATTATTTGCATTATTCATAGTAAATGACCATTTATTAAGAAAATTCGATGTTATTTCAACCATGAATGAAATCATAGAATTTAAATTTTGATGTTGAAAAACAGGTGCAATAAGTCGTCGATGTTTTGCATGTATATTATCTTCAGACATTAAAAGATTTTCAAATCCTAAGAGTCCACTGAGAATAATTTGGGTTAATATAGATTTATGATAAAAACGAGCATTTGTTTTCAATACTCCTTGAATTAATAATGGATCACTAATGTTTAAACGAGCTAAAGGACCAAATGATGTATGATAATAACTACCAAATTTCTTTGTCATTTCAATATTATAAGATATTGGATCATCAGCAAGAAGAGCACGACGCATACTAAAAGCTTCACCAACTACAGGTATGTATCGTCCAGGAATTCCTTGTGCCCATAAATCTTTGTGAATACGCCATGGATCAAATATCCAAAATTTCAATAAACGATAAACAACATATAAAGATACGATGAATGTAAAAATAGAGAACCACATTATCGTTGCTTTGAAAAGAAAAGTAAATGACACGTGCTTTGATCGTTTGCTTAGAACAAAAAACGATAGTCGATAAAATGCGTTCTCCACAGAAGATAAACACTAATGTAGAAGGTCGAAGAACAGCAAAAATAATCATTCGTTGGTGTTACTCGGGTGTTATATCGGGATGTATCAAAATGTTTGCATACTTTTCATTTTCCATATATCTCAGCATAGATAAATGATATAAATCTTGAAGTTTTTTTAAAATATGCACCATGAAAAGCTTGACAATTTACAGCAAACTACTTAATTCACAATTGCACTTTTTGTCTTCGAAATGGAGACAATTCTATGCGACCAAAGTTCGAAGATCTTCGAATTTCATTTATCTTTCTTAAACAACAACACTTCTACATTTGTGATTTGTTATTATGCAGAAGGTATGTGTCTCGAGAAAATAATATCAGAAAAATGAATAGGAAAATATAATTGAAACTCGTGTCGGTCGGTCTAAACTCGGCGATCGATTATGGCTTTTGATATGGCTCATTAACTGAAGAAATAAGAAAGGGAATTAGCTGTGTACGAATAAGTGATTTTCTTCGAAAGGTCAAAATTTGAAAACAAAATGTGTAACTATAAATTAAATGATCTATTGTAAATTGTAGAACTTTTCACGACGCATCTTTTTAAAAAACTTTAAGATGTTTATCATTTATCTATGCTAAGATATATGAAAAATAAAAAATGTACAACATTTTGGGACACTCGGCATATGATGTCATATGATAGACTCTTGTCTGATAATGTTGCAAACTTGGTATTGCTTACGAGAGAAGTACTCCAATTGTTTACGAGCTTTTGGTTATAAGTAGAAGTCAGTAAGACTAGAAAAACTACAAAAGTGATCATGTCCACAGGTCCTTCTATCCAAGATATGATATAAAAATATATAAAAAAAAAATAGAGTTTTTATCATTTTTTTGTAGAAAAAGATCGCTTGTTTTTGAGTCTCAATGTTTTAAATATTAAACATAATTATTCAAAAAGCTCGATGACGGGCGCTAGTGTATCTAAACCTCAAATATCAAGTCAACTGAATTATAAAGTATTGAATCTAAATTTATTTCTTTTCCGAATTATCTCAATACGACGAAGAAAGATGTTCAAGTCCAAGTTTCATCTGTTGGATGGGCATGGGTGAGGTTTTACTAATCAATCACATCCACACCCTTTTCTCGTCTAGTCTATAGTTTATAGTTTAATAAGCCAACAAATCGATTTGAATCTTGTTTGATCCTTGTTCAATTAATTCGAGAAATTTATAAAGTGTGACAGATGAAAAGTTCTGTATTTATGTTTAATGTTTATTTAAATTTTTTTTTTAGAAATTCTTGATGTTTACAAATGGAAGTCTTCAAAGTAGTCAAGAGTCACGATCAAGTGTGACGATGGTCATGGCAAAAAGAAAACCGTACTGAAACCAGAGATTCTTTTGAAATGTTCACAATGTTTACCAAAAACTTGCGAATTATTTGATGCACTGTAGCGAATTTTGACGATATTAGGATTTAAGATAATATGTGAACGAACGTTGAACGTCTATTCTTTCATAGAATTCCAAGCGAAAGCCTATTACAAACGTTTGAAACGAATCAAAGTGTTTTTTGCAACAAGACTAATCGGTGTTTGATCATAATTCGTCAATGATCAGAATATTAGAATTTTAGTTTAGACTTCTGCAACTTATCGAATCGTAACGACTAGAAAAAAATGTTGCTCGGTGTTCATGATCTAAATATTCAAATGAGTTAAATTTGATTTGTTTCATTCCGACTGACCTACATATCGAACGATAAATAATCGCAGTCGAAAACAGAAATTAATTCATCATGTTGATTTTTTTCTGAAGTATTAAGCGTGATACGCATTTTAACGCAGAGTTTTGAGATCATTAAATGAAATGTTATTACCTTTCAGTAAAAGTCATTGCTGAACATTAATGGTCAAAACTCAATACATTGATGGTCATGTCTGCTGTGTTGAACTTCTTTCATCCATCTGTTGTTATTCAATATTAAAATTGACTTTCAATCATATAGGAATCGATTCTCAAGTCATGTTTCATATTTTGCTCCAGTATGGAAAATGACGGAAGAAACACTAGCCGCAAGAAGATGTTGAATAATATGTATCACTATTGTTACTTCTCTATCAGTGTGTGGACGTGAGTACAAGACTGGATCTTGTCCCAACCCTCCCATCAAGACTCAGACCCATATCCTTTTTTGAAAATTGAAACAATCAACTATCGATAGTTAAGCAAGTGCACCAACCTCCATCGACTTACCGCTTTTTTTCTGTGCAAATGAAAACAGCTACTGTAGTGTACCATGTACAAATACATCAAATGCTTACACAAAGAAGGAAGAGAAAGTATTTGCGTCAATGAAATTTTTTAGCCTTTGTGGCACATACGCAATTGTGAGTCAAATCCTTTCGTGAGGAAAAATATTTACAACAAATAGACCTTGGTGTTTTTTCTTGGAAATATTATTCTCATGTGTCATAATTTCTAATGATGGTTGAAATAATCATAGAAGATGATTAAGAGATACTTTGCTCTATGACCAAATGAAATAAAACGTATGCTCTGTACTCTTTCGCTTTTCTACTCCTGTTTTACTGATAAACCCTGCTTTTCGTCAATACAGATCCAAATATGATGAAGTCCACGGAAGTTCTTAAAATTGCCAAGCTTATAATTTATCACGTCGTCAATATCTAAATTACCTACAGTCGTTTCGCATCCTCATCCTGATCATACGTAATTCCGTGCCGCTATCTTCAAATAAGATAAAGACAAATAGTTCACGTCATCTATTTGTTATCTGTGAAAAATAAAGGAACTTGCGGGTTTGAAAATTACGTAGAAAATTCTGATAATATCAATGCACATGCTCTTCGTTCTCTCGGAAAAAGCCAGGAATAAATGGCTGTATAAAAAGAGATTTTTTGAAGCAGACTACTCTATATTCACTTATACACTCTTACTCGGTATTCAAAAGTATACTAAATGAAATTCGTCCTGCTGCTCTTAGCATGCTTGTACTCTTCCAGTTGGTTTTCAGATGGACAGAATGTGTGTTATACGAATGTTTCTTGCAACAACAGCACATCCGATGTTTCGTATTGCAATTATGTATGCGACGATAATAGACCAGGATCATACGGTTTTTGTCCTCAACATTCTTCACATCAATGTTATCGAAAATGCTTGTGTACTTATATCAAACCAACACCTGATCAGACCTGTTTGGATGGACGCTGCAACGGTGGCATCATGGGCACGATAGAGTGCAATAATCGCTGTATAAACGCGCTCAAAAAGTACGGTTCGTGCCAGGTGAACAACAGGCATCAGTGTTATGCCCAGTGCATCTGTGAAAAAGATTATTCAGAAACGAAAACCGTTGGTTGATTTTAAACTCAATTGTACTGTATTCTCTGAATATTTCTGACTAATTTTATCTTAAAGCTATGACCACATGTAATCACGATTCTTTCTCTATTGTTAATTCTGTTAATTAAACATAATTATTTTTCATCAGAGCAATGAATAAAATTTGCACCTGACGTGATTGTTTCTGTAAATTTAAGAAACATAACTGTAAAAGTGAATTCTATGGTTGTATGACTAAAGCATGTGAACACCTACGGACACCATCTAATCGCCAATGCAAGCCTACGAATACATTTTATTTGTAGTTATTTCAGAATTTGAATGTCATGCATGCTATCAATTCTCGTGAGAAAATATCTTCAAAAATCGGTATTTTCTAGATATTGGTCAGTGCTAGAGATGTTCATCGCGACTGGAAACCTACCACTACCGCGATAGATATTAAGCAATCCTTCAAAAGTTTCTTCTGTCACTGTACTGAACTAGCATCGTATGATTGAACTCATCAAATTAATCACGATTCTGACTGTCGAGCTTGCAAACCTCAAATCGTGTTACTTCCTCGCGTAAATTCATAGCATACATAGCATTCAGAGCCCAAGATAACTTTAAATAACAAGTGTTCATGGGTGTTCGCATATTTTACTAATACCCATCATTGGGTGGGTTCTAACTCTAATAGATGAAAATGTCTTATTTCCTATTTTTATCTGGAAACTGGTACAGCAGTTTTTCCAACGAATAAAATAATTCTCAATGACGAAAGTCATTTCATGTAACACGTTTTATTGATATTTCTTGATCGTTTTTGCAGCCAACTTTCAGAACGAATTGCAATATTTTTTTCAATATCTTTCTATCAGATTGCTTGAATATATAACGACGTGTCAATAACTTTGACTATTAGTATCTAATTCTATCATGGTTAGAAGCATGTTCTGAATGTGATGATTGAAGGTTGACAATCTCTTTCATTAATACTCTCCTTACTCAGTTACATTATACAGCAATGAAGTCAATATCGACTTTCTACTATATCTGTCTTGTGCAAGTCAAAAGAGATATTGACTAATAACTGTAAGAAAGTACATCATTCGTGAAAATTTTTATCTGACCTTTTCTGTTCAAGTGTTTGACTCCACTCTTCATCCAGTAGAGACGTTATTGTTTTTTTTTGTTAAAAAGAGTAAAATGCCTAGTGTTAAAATACATCACAAAATTTGATTGAATATTTCCTTCAAACGTTAGAAAACGTTTTAAACAAAAGGATTCGGGAACTCTTCCGCAACTTCTTTTTAGCTTAGAAAAATATGTCATTGTATTAGATCGATTATATGTTTATTCTTTTAATTCGAGTTGCACAAGATAGGCATACAGTGCTGTTGCTATATAAAAAAAAAGAAACTCTACATGTTTTATAACAATCAAAACAAAGCACTTTTATTGCCTTATGGCATCGTTACTTTTCACTTGTGTTGATAAAAGTCGCAAAAATGAAGCCTATTGCGATTGAAATGTTAGCCTAAGCTATATATTTCATATCAAAAAGAAA